GAGGAACGTGTGATGTTTAAGCCTCATTAGGACTATAAAACCAGCCTTTCCAACACAAACCCCGCTATTGACTTTGACCTCACTTCCCCACCTCCCTCCGCTCGTGGCATTATTGAACCTGGGTTTTTCCTATAGGCCAGAACCTTGCCAACCCTTTTGCCCTTCACATAATGTGTTTGTCTGGTTTCTATTTCGGTAGTCTGATGAAGGATGATAGCAGGGTATTGAGTTGTTGTTCTTCATTTAGTGCAGTCCCCGCGCCTCACCCTGCCCCTACCCCCACCCCGCTCTCAAGTCGGGCTTTCATTGTCTGTTTTGTGCCTTGTCCCAGGTTTTTATTGCTTCCTTACAGAGTGGAGGAAGGCATTTTATTTTATTTTCCAGGTCCTGGTACATACATAACCTCGTGTATCCATCTTTCCCGTGGAGATGTATGGAGTTTTGAGATTGGAAATGACCTCGGAAGGGAAAGACAGGGAAGGTTCGGATATCCACAGAGCCCCTGACACATGCTGGGCCCTGAACTAGGGGCGCCTTTTTTTTTTTTTTACATTTAATCTTCACAACACATCCGTGAAGCAGGTAGTATTACATCTCATTTTACAGATGAGAAAACTGAGATCCAGAGAGGGGCAAGGACAGACTCAAGGTCATACAGGACGGTTGCTGCCAAAGGTCCCCCCTACTCCAAGTCCACTGCCCTTCCCATGCCTCCCCGTGTCTTTGTGGACGTTTTAGGGTGTTTTAGTTTGGGTGGGTACAGATCTTCTAAGGAAGAGGGAACAAAAAAAAGTTTAGCTTCTTGTTCTCTGAAACAGAACTTAACTGTCATGATCCTGTATTCCACCTGGGCATAAGCTCCCGGCCCTCTGTTGCATGAAACCCAAAAGGCTCTTTGTTAGGCTTTGCCCCTCTGCCAAGGTCACAGAAAACTCTAACTGCTCCCACACCACTCTGGGGCCTTGGGAATCTCTGAGAGGCTGTCTCAGGTCCCCACCCTGTAGACGCACCGAGAAGGCACCTCTACTCTTCATATCCTTGCTGCAAATGTGTCCCCTCCAGGGCCTCTGATGGGGATAGGAGGCACAGAGCTCCTCTCCCTACAGATGTCCCACCCACATGGAGCTCTGTGACTCCCTGTCTCCTCCCTGGGGCTCCTTCGAGGAGGAGGAGGAAACAGGAGACCGGGAACCCCCCAGAGGCCCAGCTCTGTTCCCCTCGGCAGCTCGCCTATCTCTCTCCTCAGCCCTTGCCACATTTGGCCTCCTGGGACGGGAGGCCAGACTGGTCCCGGCTGATTCTGATTCTGGGAAAAAAATCTCTACGTTGCGTGGGGCATCGATTGCATGACCAGAGTCACAGAGGGGTTAGACTATGGGAGTTCAAAGACCAGACTTTCGAAACACAGAGGGTTTTCTCTCAAGCCATGTGTTTCAAAAGTCTATTTTGAAATTCAAAAGCTCGGTCCTGACTCTCCTTTCTCTTTACAGTTCCCGGGAACAGCTTTACTCCTGAAAGGACAGGAAGGTGGGAAGAGTGGAAGGTACCTGCAGGAGGGGGAAGAGAGAACGTGAGCTAATGTTGAGGAGGCAAAGACCATCTGTGCACTGGTTCCTCGTCCTGTCGGCACAGGGGGACAGCCTCCTCTGCCGTTGGGATGGGGACGTGTGACAACATATGGGTTAGAGTGATAGAGTCCACTTACAGGCCTGGCCCCTGAAAGCATCCCTGCCAACCCTCTGGTCCTCTTTCCTCCTCGGCAGCAGCTGCAGAGGTCACCAGCTAAAGACAGTGACGCCCCAAGAGAGAAGGAGCCTGGGGGCCTGAATCGTCGACTGGAGGAGAGCTGCTTACATAAGAGGCTGCCCCACCAGCAACAGACAAGAAATGAAACTGAATTGTGTTAAGCCACTGAGGTTTAGGTCGCGTGTGTGTATTTTCTAGCAGGTTATACTACCTACTCTGAGAAAAATACCTAAATAGTGCTCTATCTCATAATCAACATATAAAAGATCAGAGATTGGGAATCAGAAGCGTAACCATTCTGATTAAAGCCTATGAAACCGAAGGTGCATAAAATGACACCAATTCAAAGAAAATACTAAGTATTATATTTGGACAATATTCAAAGCCTGATGTCGAAGGAGAGTGACAGGAAAGGAACATCTCGAATCCCTTCTTTCAACCAGCCTGTCATAATAGCTGCCATACTCAGATGCTTTGTAAGGAATGATTGAATGAATAAAATATCCATTAACCTATCAACTCTGGTTAAGCCCAGAACGTTGGCTCTCTTAGGTTTCATGAGGAAGAACAAAGGAGGTAGAGATGAAGAAAAGAGAAGAAAAAGAAAAAATAGTGAAAGGCAAGGTAGAAATAGGCGTGTACCTCTCCCAGTTCCCACTTTCGTGACTTAACACAGTGCTTATCAGCCAGAACCCCTGTGATGTTGCCCTCTGCACGCTCACAAAGTAAACACACAAGTAAAGTTACCATTGCTGTTTGTTATGATGTTAACATATAAAATGAAGCTGAGCATGGAAAATGCCACAGTGTGAAGCAGGCAAAAGCCAGTAAGTTGGAAAAAGCTTTTGGGGGGGGGGACAAAGAAAGGGGGGCAGAGAGAGAGACTCTTAAGCAGGTTCCATGCCCAGCCCAGAGACCAATGCCAAGGCTTAATCTCACGACCCTGAGATCATGACCTGAGCCGAAACCAAGAGTCAGACGCTCAACCAACTGAACCACCCAGGCACCCCAAGAAAAAGCCATTTTATTCTTGGAATCATGCAAAAAGACTTTGGGGGCTTGCAGGGGCTCGCTAAATAGCACCTCTCTTCTCTGTCAAGTCAGGAACCAATTTAGAGACAGACACAAGAGACCGAGGAAATAAAAATGTTTGATTTATTACTGATACACATGAGTGTCCAGCCAAAAGGATGTGCGTGAATCTCTACTTCTGAATGAGCCACACTCAACCACCAAGCCATTGGTGCAGCCGGAAAATCAGCAGCTGCCCCCGCAGGGACAGGCCCCTGGCTGCATGGCAGAGAGGCAACCAAAAACCCCCACTCTCCGGGTCAAGCAGATCTGAAGAAAGAGTAAGGAAGGAGCTGAGCCAAGCCTACGTCCAGTTTTTCTTCCCAAATCCCCAATCGGATAAATCACTCTTTCTATTAGTTAAGATATGTGGCAGGAGGTGATACCTCTCAATTCTCAGTGGCTCACAACCACAAAGATTTCTTGTTCCCATATCCATTGTGGGCTGGATGTATGTTGTCTTTGCTCTGAGACCCAAGATGATAGGCTGGTCTGTGTCTTGGTCATTACTGTTCTGTGGCAGAGGGAAGAGAGGGAGGGCTGTGGGCCACGTGAAGGAGGAGGCACACCTGTATTCTCCTCTTACTCCATCAGCCAAAGCAAGTTACGTGGCCAAGCCTGCCCTCTAATAGCGTGGGGATGTTTAATCCTCCTGAAGGGAGAAGCAATAAATATTTTTTAATGAGAATATAATTACTACACTCCTTCTCCCTAGGAGAAAATGAAGACGTGGGATTCGTTTTTCCCAGTCTGCACCCAAAGGCCAAAGGAAAAGTTGCAGATGCTGTTGCTGCCATACACACATCCCCTTGGCCATGAAAGTCACCTGTGGGTCCTGCAGACAGTTCCCATACATTCCACACACGTCACTTGCTCCCTAACTGGAACACCTTCCAAAAGGGCTTTCTTTGGCTGCAGGAACATGCCTGCCTCATGGAGCCAGGATTTCCAGGAGCAACCCCAGGAGGGGCCCCAGGAGCACCCCCAGGGACACCCCTTAACCAAGGAGGGACAGAAGTTGGTTTTAAAGTTCCCATCTTCCTCACCTCTTCGTAGGACAATTTTGAGGTATTTCTACACAATCTCTCAAAGGATCCACAATGGGAGTGAGCCCCAGTTGCCCACAAAGTTAACTTGTTCATAAATGTACCTTTTCCTCTCTTTCTTCCTTCCGTGTCTTCCTTCCCCCCTGCCTCACTGTGCTTGCTGGGATCACGATCCAAAAAACCACTGCACTCACATCCCTGGGTCAGGGTCTGGTTTGGAAAAACCCAACTAAAACAGGGACAGACGTTTCTCCGATGAAAAACCCATTTCCTAATCTCTCATGATTCTCCAGCAGTACTTCTGCCTACTTAGACTCACAGCACAAAACACAGTGTGGATGCAAAATTAATCTTGAGCCATAATGGACATCTTCCTTTCGTCTGGAACGGCCATCTCCCGGGAATGCACCAAAATGATATGTAAAGGGAAAGAGGTGAGGTACCGCTATGTGTTCTCTGGGCCTTTGAGAAGACGTGGAATTGTTCCTTCAACACATACTTGTGAAGCAACAGGAAAGGTGATTTGCAGACATCAAGGGAATGGACGCTGTTCAAAAGGCATGACCCAACCATGTTACCGTGGCAAAACGCAAAGGGTCTGCCATGTTGCCCCGCATGCTGTTGGCATTGTAGTAAAATACTAAGGGCAAGAATTCTGCCAAGAGAATGGATGTATATATTGAGCATCTTAAGTGCTCTAAGAGCTGAGAGAGCTCCCTGAAACATGGGAAGGAAAATTATCAGAAAAAAGAAGGAAGCCAAAGAGAAAGGTACCTGGGCTCCATTCAAGGGCCGGCTTGCCTACCCAGGGAAACATGCTTTGTGAGAAAGGAGCCTGAGCTGCTGCTGAGACCCATTCGCTATGAATTCATGGCTTAATACATACATACATACCAACCAACTCCCGGACTGTAAAAAATAAATAAATAAAATAATTAACATTTGTATACCAAGCACTCTCCTATACTGAACCTCTCTTATTTATTCTCAAAATAACCATGTAAGGATGGTATCATATTATCATCCCCATTTTGTGCATGAGCCAACTGGGGCTCAGAGAGTCTCCTGCAGGCACCGACACGTCTGGCCAGGTCCCCCAGCCCTCGTGGGGAGGCTTCTGGCTCCTCGTCAAACCACCTTGACGCTGTGGCCATCTCGGCTGGTGTCAGCCAGCCCCTCCTCAGACATGCTGGTGCCTCTCTTTCTTCCCAGCCTCTCATTTAGGATTTCTCAACTGTCCCTCTGTATCCACCATCATGTCTCATACACAGTTCATCCACATTCAACAAATGTTGAGCGGCTTCTAAGTGGCAGGATTGTTGTAGAGTGGTAGACATGACTGTGAAGAAGACAGACCAGGTCCCTGCTCCCATAGAGCTTATTTTCCAGTGGGGAGAGACAGAAAATACACACTACAAATGTTGGATAGTGGTAGAATCAGAAAATCAGAGGAGGATGACGGGATTGAGGGGGAATGGGTGGCTATTTATCATTAGGAGAACAGAGAAGGCTTCTTCTCTGAGAGGGTCACTTTTAAGCTAAGAGCTGAATAGCAAGAAGGTGCCAGCCTTGGAAAGAGATGGAGGGAACATATTCCACACAGAGAGAGCAGCATATGGGAAGGCCTTCAAGGGAATACCGGCTTGAGGAGATAAAACTAGGAGGGTGTTAATAACAACACTCGCCTCGGGTGGTTTACATCTGTTAGAGTTCCCTTCGAAGAGTCAATCCAGAGTGGGGACTGATCTCACAGCTTCTCCTTACTCCCCACCTATTTTAGCCAATTCTCTCTCAACACATCTTGGAATCTGGAATCTGCTCCACTTCCAACTTTGGTGAAATGAACTGCTCCTTCAAGACCCCATGATGGGGGCGCCTCGGTGGCTCAGTGGGTTAAGCGTCTGCCTTCGGCTCAGGTCATAATCCTGGGGTCCTGGGATGGAGCCCCTCGTCGGGCTCCCCGCTCGGTGGGGAGTCTGCTTCTCCCTCTGCCTCTCCCCCTGCTCATGCTCTTTTTCTCAAATAAATAAATAATCTTAAAAAAAAAAAAAAAGACCAGTACTGCAATTCTGCATAATTCTGCATCAGCTGTCTGCCTCCCTCCTAGACGAGGGGCTCTCAGGGAGCTGGAATCCCTGTCTCCCACTCTCCTCCTTACTCTAGCTTTGGGAAATGTGCAGGACATAGGGCGGATGTGCTAAGCACGCTCCCTTAGCACTCCGCAGCAGTTCCAGCGAAGTGTTTCACACATTGCTCCCTATTAACATGTCTGTCTGCCCCTCCAGCTGTACTTTAAGGCGCAAACTCAAATGTCCACAGAGTCAGGCAGGGAAGGTAGGACTGTAGCAAGTGAGGAGAGTTGGGGAAGCAATGGAAAACTAATTTTCACATGATGTCAGAAATTTGGCTTTTCATGTGAAATCTCCAGATACTTAAACGTTGGCAACTAATTATTTGGAAAAGTTAAATGAGCTCTCAAGAGCATTTTAAGTGCATTTACAATAAAATGCATCCTGAGTGCATTTTATTCACACTGGTATTCTCAGTATCCCACATAACAAATGACAAAGAATCACTGCTCGGTAATATCTGTTGAATGAATGAATAAATGAAATAAACTTTATGGGAATTAATCATATCAGCTCTTCTCATTGGAGTCTAAGACTTAAACTGTCAGCACTTGGCTTAGCCAAAATTGGATTCCAGATGAAATGTAGGACAGACTTCATTTTCTTCGCTACGTCGTGCAGTGGGATTCCAGTTTGTTTTCTTTATTGTTCCACAATCCCAGACGCCTCCAGTGGCCCCGGGGTTTTCTGGGCAGGAGATCAAATGTCTTCAAAGCAGGCTCAGCTGGGTTCATACACTCATCAGTCAACTCATGAGTAAATGCTTAGATTTTTACATTAGTAGAACCAGAGAAGGTTAACACTGGAAGCACCCTTAGCCATCTCCTAGGGACTAACCTCTAGTTGCATAGCCCCAATGAGCCGAGGAAGAAACTGATTTGAAAGAGACCCACCCAAGGACATGTGACAGCCCCCCCCACCCAGTCATGTCTCCGCCCTGCACTGCTTGCTTTGGCTTTGCTTAGAAGAGGCCATATGTCCCCGTCTCTCATCATTGCTAAGGCAGGGAGCAGCCTTTGGGAGAAACACCCACATGTGTCAGAAAGCCCTCCAGACTGGTTAACAGTGTGGGCTGGCTGCACACTCTTGGACTAACACCAGGACTATGGCCCTGAAAGGGTTTCTGGAGAAACAGAATTAAGTTGAGCACAAATATTCTACTACCGGAAGTCCTTCTGGGTTCCTGGAGATGTGCTTCGAGGGGAGGGGCTGGGTCTTTCCTACTTGTGCATCACCAAGAGCACCTAGCAGAGGGCTCTCTGTGGAGCAGGCACGGAGCACGAATTTGTTGAGTAGTGCCTGCTACGTGCTGGGCATCGTTCTAAACAGTGGTTCTCAAAGTAGAGTCCCCGGCACTCCTGGAGGCTCCTCAGGCCCTTTCCAGGGGCCCCCCAGGTCAAAATGATTTTCATAACAATACCAAATGTGACTTAACAACCTTTTTTCACTCCCATTCTCTCATGACGGTACATGGAGTTTTCCAGAGGCTACCTGATGTCTGATAGCTTACAGAATATGTGTTTGTGAGTCTTGTGTTTTGACATTTTCTCAGTTTTAATTTCAGACATGGACAATATCAATAGATACAACCCATATAACAAGAGTTTTTTGAAGTCTTCAATAATATTTAAAAGCATAAAATGGACATTGGGCCAAAAATGTTGAGATCCACTATTCTAGAGGATGTAAGAAGCTACTAAGTACCATGAGAAAAAAGAAAAGTAAAGCAGGGTAAGAGGATTGGAAGAGTCTGAGGATGAGGGGCAGGTGATGGAGCCAGGGAAGGGGTGATGGGAAGAGGAGGGGCAGCTTACAGTATCAAATAAGGTCATACAATTAAGAAATAAACCTACAAACCAAATATCCGATTTCCCTGAGTTGTCTTTAAAATCCCCTCCTTTGGGCGCCTGAGTGGCTCAGTTGGTTAAGCAACTGCCTTCGGCTCAGGTCATGATCCTGGAGTCCCGGGGTCGAGTCCCGCATCGGGCTCCCTGCTCAGCGAGGAGCCTGCTTCTCCCTCTGACCC